AAATCACTGTGGAGCACACCAGAAACTAACACAATGTTATAAATCAGCTGCACTTCAATAAAAATAAGAAAAAAGAGAAAACCATCACAGAGGGGACACGAGGACACAAACAGGTCACGTGTCTGCACCTTTGAAAACACCTTGTCTTACCAGGCAGTGAGGCTTGGGACACTGGCTGTCTCTTCCTGGCTGGAAGAAAGGGGTTTGGGGAACCTTGGGGTTTTGTGCCTCGGGCTGGGGGTGGGCACTAATGCCACGAGCAGGTGACTGAAGATGGGAGTTGCTCTAACCTGGAGTCGAGTCAGCAGCGCTGAGAGCTCTTACAGCTCACTGGGCGGAAGCTACCCAGCACAACCGCTGTCTGGACAAGTGACGTTAAAGGTTTGGCAGGAGGTGTCCTGGCGCAGTTATCTGGGGCTTACTCTTGGGTACCCAGTGCAGCTCGCAGGACCGTTTAACTGTGCACTCACTCCTCTGCCCACCCACCATCTCATTCACTGGATGAGGACCTACACCACCAGAGCCTGGGCAAGGCCTGAGAATGCAAAGATTAAAAGCTACTGCCCTTTGGGAGCCCATGGGCCAGTAAACAAACAACTAGGATACACGGCAGCCCAAACGAGGGCTTAGTAACACGTGGGGGTGTGAGGGAAGGCTTCCTAAAGTGTCTAGTCGTTCCTGTCAGCCTCAGACTAACATCCAGCTTCTTGTCATGACAAGACCTGCAACTGCCAGTCTACCACGCTGGGCTTTTTTTTTTTTTTTCCTGTCAAAATACATAAAGAAAATGGTAGTATTTGGAGGGCTCACTGGGGGAGGGCCATTGTCCAAGGAGACAGGCGAGTCCACACTGAGGGTCTATGTGTAGAGACTCCTGGGATGCCCTGTCATGTCGGTGGGCACATTCCTCTCCTTTGTGTCTGCTCAGCCCTGTCCCTGGAGCGCTGGCCCTTCTCTCACTCAGCAGTCACGGTTTTGCTCAGCGTTTAGCTGCCCCCTGCCCCCATCCTGGTCTGGTCTATGTGCCCCTCCTCGGTGCCCCGTAGTGTCTCTGTTGTGACTCCTCTCTCCAAATTCTAACTGATGCTTTTTCTATTCCTTCCACTCATCTCTTTTTGGATAAGGTCTGTGTCTTTTATCCTGTATCCCAGTGGTTGGCATTGAGTCTGACGCATAGTAAATATTTGGTAGTTGTTTAAAATGAATGAATAAATAGTGGTGCATTTGAATCAGATCTTGAAAGAGGATTATAGTTTGCCAGCAGAGAAATGATAGAAGGGCATTCTAGAGGGAAAGAATTGAGAATTGGTTCAGGTCCATGATGATTTACTCTGTATATGCCCTTAATACATGTTGCTGAACCTATTTAAAACTTGCTTTCCTCGTCTGCAGAATGATGATAATACTTGTCTTGCAGGGTTTTTGTGGGGATTCAAGATGATGTTTGCAAGTATCTTAGCATGCTGCACATACAAGGTGCCGTAATAAAATAATTACTGAGTGTTAAAACTAATATGTCTTCTTGTTGGTTGTAAACTATGGATAAGTATTACCAAAATGTTGAGGTTTGTGTTGAAAATGTAAGGAGAGCCACTCTTCCATCAGTTCATGGCCTTATGATTACTGGTCCTGACTTATTCCTAGAAGGAGTCAGCGCTACATGAGTTTGCCTGGTTCTAATTTTGAATTTGTAGAATAGTTATTCCACTAAGCTTTGTACTCCCCATTCTCTGCCTCAGGACATGTGAGAACTTCTTCATGTGGACTTGAAAGATCGGGCGATGACTCTGAAGCCCTCACAGCCAGCCGATGGGCCGTTCTGTCCATCAATACACCCTTGTGAAATTTTCCCTTTTGAATTAGACAGAGGTCACCATGAAGGATGCACTCATGCTGATCGGGGGCAGGAATCTGCTGAACCGAACAGGTGTTGAAAGAGATCTTTCACAGGAGCAAAATCTGTTTGTCCTAGGTGGTCATCTCTCTGCTCTCCTAAAGCTAAAAGAATGTGTCTGTAGCTGCAGCTGAAGTTTTCTTGAAGCAGGAAAAGCATGTCCCTGGGAGGCTGCCTCTTCTCCCAGCTCATTACATTCACAACAGCAACAACGAAATCGCTGTGTCCGTCAAGCACTAATTTAAATGCTAGAGTAGTGCATTTAATTTCTTACGACAACCTGGTGAGATGGCTCGAGTTACTTGAGCTTTGCAGGTGAGGAATTTGCGGAACAAGACTGAAACCCAGTGTGCTTGACTCTGGGGTTTTTGCTTACAGCCAGTAGACCTTATGGTCTCCCTTTTGTGTTACCTCAGTGCATCCGGTTTGTTAGTGTCCCTCCGTGTTGGAGAGGAGGTGGGATGCTCGTCAGAGCCTGACGAGCTGTTTGCATGAAGTTGCACCCATGGTTTGTCGTGTGGCTTCTGTCTTCTTTCCTTAGCTACGGGGTGCTGCTCTGGGAGCTGCTGACCGGTGAGGTGCCCTTCCGAGGAATCGATGGCTTAGCAGTCGCTTATGGGGTGGCCATGAACAAGCTTGCCCTTCCCATTCCTTCCACGTGCCCGGAACCGTTTGCCAAACTCATGGAAGGTAAGTGACTCCCTGGCTGGAACAGGACTGGAGACTGTTTACCTTTGTGCCAGCAGTTGATAGGTTTTTGGCCAGTTCTGCAGGATCAGTAAATGGAAGAGGAGATGAAGTATTACTCACTCCGGGAGGAACCCCATGGGTGGCTGGAAAGAGCTGCTTTGAGACAGTGTCAGCCCCTGCAGCACTGATGTCCCAGATGTCGCTTCTGTTCATCTGTAGTGACCATAGAACTTACCCTAGTGACTGAAGCCTGCTGTCCAGAACTTCAGAATATTATTACTTAATACAAAGTAAGAAGGTAGAGCAGCTTTTATTTTGGGACCTCTGAGTGTCTTCCTTGTGGAAACGAAGAACATTTGAGAAGAAAGGAGTTCTAAAAGTCATCAAGTCAAACCCTGTCATTTTCTAAGTGAGGAATCCTAAGCTGTGAGTAGCTGAATGGATAGGTGGCTGTTCCTTTAGTTAGTGGCTGAGCTGAGAGCAGATAGAATTCACTTTTCTTGACTCCCACACCAGGGCTTTCTATCCTCACCTTCTCATCAGCCCGTTGAGGTGGGAAAGGGTAGCTCACTTATTTATGGGAAACTGCGGCCCAAGGTGTAGTTCCCCGTTGTCAGGGCTGGAATCACATAGCAGCTTGATAAACTGTGGTAGTTGTACTTGACGCGAGAAAACTCTCGGGACTTGCTTTTCTTGTGCTAACTGAATGGTCAGAATGGGACGGGTGCAGAACTGTTGTGTTTTGCTTCCAGTTTCACTCTGGATGGTTGTGATGCTGGGCAGCTTGCTTTATGTCCTGAGCCCCGTTTGGGGTTCCCTAAATCCCAGTCTGTGTTTCTAGAAGGAGAAATGAGAGGTGGTTTTCTGACAAACGAGGTCACGTCATCTCCTGAGTCTTACGTTTGCCTCTGTCTGTTCGCGCTTTCTCTTGACTCGTGTGTTCCGTGCAGATTGCTGGAATACCGACCCCCATTCACGACCATCTTTCACCAATATCCTGGACCAGCTGACTACCATAGAGGAGTCTGGTTTCTTTGAAATGCCCAAGGACTCCTTCCACTGCCTGCAGGATGACTGGAAACATGAGATTCAGGAGATGTTTGACCAACTCAGGGCCAAAGAAAAGGTAAGAAGGAGAAGCAGAAGGCACGCATTGAATCAGGGGAACTTCTCCACTGGGGCCTCTGGGCAGATTCCGACACAACTGCCTTTCTGTTTGGTTTGCGATAACAGGGTAGCTCTTTCCTTCCTGGCTTTACATGGAGAGTTCTCCAGGCCTCAGGTGTGACCTGAGATGATACAGAATTCTTTCTTTTTGGGAGGTGGCAGGACTATGTAGGGTGAGTCATGAGTCCAGAGCTCTCCTCACAGAGCGTCTGCTGGGCAAGTACCCTGAAAAGACTAGAGGGTGCTAGAAAGGGTCTTGGTTCTGCAGCGGACTTCTGGATGGGGGTTAACCTGATACAGGGATACTTCAGCCTTGAGAGCAGTTGTCAGAATATCCTGCCAGTGTCTTTTGGTATCAGAATCAGAAACAGCATATAGGCTAAAAATACCATGGGCCTGAAATTGTTTGGCATTTTTCATGTTTTTATGAAAAGGGCTCAAAGTCTAAACCAGCTGAGGAGGTCAGAGACTCGTAGCCCACTAGAGACCTGCCTTGTGGTTGGGTGACCAGCCCCCAGATGGCTCCTCTCTACACCCAGACTGTCCAGCTAACGGTCAGTGTCCACACAGATGAAGTGCAACAAAGCAGCTATGTCGCTTAAACTGCAGGGCCTGTAGCTAGAGGCGCGAGGGATGTCCATGGATATAGACCTGGTTCATTTCTTCCTTTCCTTCTCACTCCCCACTGTGGGAATTTGGGAAGCAACATGATAATACTGGCATCTAAAATTATCTTTATGACCTCCCACAATTAATATACATGATAATAGTAGTAGCTAAGACTGCCTTTATGGCTTCCCAGTTCTTTCACTTGGAGCTTCTGGTGAGACGTTTTCGTCCTTTTTATTCTGGAAGTCTTATGGTCCCTGCTACCAGCTTGTTTGGCAGGTGCTATTGTCTTTTTCATCTCAGAGGTGAGGGTCAGTGACTTGTCTAAAGTCACACAGCTAGTAAGTGAGAAAGCAGAATCTGGAATCAGAGTCTTCTGATTCCCAGACCATCTTATTTCCAGTATCATTGTTGTGTCCCTAAACAAATGACTTAAAAATCATATCTGGAGCTGACTGGAAAATGAAAGTCTTTTGATGCAACGCAGCAATCCTAAATCTGGTTCTGTTTGGCAAGTCAAGGATCACTTCTGCAGGGGAGTGGAATGCACTTATGACAGTTCTTCAGGGACCCAGCAGGAGAGGAGGTAGATCTGCACTGATCATTGGGTAGAATGATTAAAAGGGGCTATTCCTATTACTAATTCTAGTCCAACTAGAAAAACCCCAGAGTTCCTGGCTTTTTTTTTTTTTAAGATTGCTAAATCACTGACTCTTGGCTATTTCTTTTGATTGATGAAATTATAAAGATACCAGCGAATAAGAAAAATGAAGATTGGATTTTGTCAGTAAGTAGTTACTAGGAAATGTCAAACTCATGCTCATAATAGCTAACATTGTAGAGCATGTACCATGTGCCATGCTCTGTTATAAGTAATTTGTATGAATTCTTATATAACCTTACATAATAAGATAATAATTATCTTACGTAATACAACCCTGTGATTTTGGCGCTGTTAACTCCATATTACATATGATGCCCCTCCATTATAAGGCTCGGAGTTGAGCAATAAGGGTAAGATGAATAATGAGCTTTCTCTCTGGAGAGCATCCTCATAAATCACTGTATGTGGAAGATACGGGTTGCATACTATGAAATTGATCCCTAACTGGATGTTTCACAAGAGGGGGATTTACCATGTTGGAGGGTCTTCCAGGTGTATGGTGTCATAGGCAAGTACTCCATAAATGTCCTGGTTCCCTGTGTGACACAGTTCATCCTTCAGGTTGGCTCAGCCTACTGCTTCTACGTATGTGATGGATTGGCCTCTGGGCTGGGGTTCGAGTTAACTTAGAGGAAGGAGCTTAGACCCAAGCCATTCCTCAGACACGAGCAGGCAGGAGCGAGGATGTAGGAAGGCTGAGATTAGCTTGAACTTTCCCACTTTCCCATTTAGCAGCAGAATTAACCAGCCAGGCATAGTTTTTCTAAATCTTCCGTGTGGTTTTATTCTCCTGCTGGTGAAAACAAAGCAGTAGGCCAGGGAAGCCAAGTACTTAAAGGGCACACAGGAATGAATCTCTTTGGGGCTTATTTCATCAAAGAAGGAAAAGTTCAAAAGTTCAAGCTCATTTCTCAGGCACTTGTGATGAATCTGTGTTCCCATAAAGAAGGATTGCATTTATCAAATTGTCTTCTTTCTCCTTCTTCCTTTCATTCATTGGCTCAGCAGTTATTCAGCAACTACCGAGCACCTACTGTGTACCAGGCAGCTTTCACGGTGCTAATCCTTTTCTCATTTCACTTCTTTCTATCACTTTCGTAGTTATTTTGATATTCTCTTGAGAATGACGAGCGAGTCAAATGAAAAACTGCTTTCGTCAGAATATTTTATTCTGAAGTGGGGGGTATAGCTCAGTGGTACAGTGAATGCCTAGCGTGCACGAGGTCCTGGGCCGCAGCACCTCCATTAAAAAAATAAGTTAAAAAAATTTTTTAATGGTATTTTATTTCCATTTTATCTGTGTTCTGTCTTGGGCTCTCTCCCTGCTGTTGTGCTTCTCCGTATGTGTTCACTTACGTTTTTTCTAACTCGAGGTTCCATTTCTATGACATTTTGTTTTACTCCAGAATGACTTCCTAGAGCCGAGCGTTTCACTGAGAGTTTTAAGTTTTGACCACAGACGTGTTGCTCAGGTTGCTTTATTGAAAAAACTTCCCACTTTTTAGACGTGGTTCTCTCCGGTTACTGACGTGAAAGCGTCAAAAGTTCTGGTCCTCCTCTCCCACCCCACTTCAGTCCGAAGCCTCGGGGAACCAGGGGTAATGGTTTAGAGTCCAGGTTTGGTTTTTGTTTTGTTTTGTTTTGTTTAATTGGGGTATAGTCAGTTTACAATGTTGTGTCAATTTCTGGTGTACAGCATAATGTTTCCGTCTTACATATACATACATATGTTCCTTTTCATATTCATTACTACAAGATATTGAATATAGTTCCCTGTGTGTACAGTAGAAACTTTTTGTTTCTCTATTTTATATATAGTCATTAGTATCTGCAAATCTCAAACTCCCAATTTATCCCTTCCCACCCCCTTCCCTCCTGGTAACCATAAGTGTGTTTTCTACGTCTGTGAGGCTGTTTCTGTTTTCTAAATAAGTTCATTTGTGTCCCTTTTTTAGATTCCACATATGAGTGATATCATATGGTATTTTTCTCTCTCTTTCTGGCTTACTTAGAGTGACGCTCTCCAGATCTAGAGTCCAGGTTCTTAATTCTTATGCACATGCTTTGTTCTCTTTCCTGGGTTCTCTCGTTTCCTGATGCCATAGCCCCCGCCCCTTCCCAGGACCTTCATGCTGAGCTCACGTGCAGATTCATGCGGAAGGACCAAGGGCAGCAGGGAAGAGGTTCTGCCCACCTCGTGTGGTGCTGCTTCTAGAGCAGGTGCCTGGCAAAGACTTCAGGAAATGTTCTCTCTTCTCTTTGCTGTGCTTTCTCAATCCTTCCAGAGCAAATGGTTATCCTTTAAGAAGAAAGTTTAAACCACACGCCTCAGTGGATTCAGTCACCAAGTGAACAAAGAATTAGACGACATGCCTCACGAACCTTCTGAACAACCACCCTGGAAATATGTTTATTTTTATTTGAATGTTAGGTGATGTCTGGAGGGTGATTCATTTACAGCAGGCCCAATTTAAGCTAGATCACATTAAGTTGGCCCTGGGTTTCTTTTTTCTTTCTTTTTTTTTTAATCTCCTTTACGTAACAGGGGAAAAAATCAAAATAGAACCAAGACAGTAAAATATAAGTACACGATTCTGTTTTCACCCCAGACCCCCATCTTTTTCCTGGTCATAGGTAATCAATATATCAATAAATTTTAATCAGTAAATCAAGGGGCACTGGGGACTGTCAGCCCTTGTGGCTACTCCAGCTATATCCTCAGGATGGCTCTTCTGAGCCTTCCTTTCCTTACCGGTCAGGGTGGTCAGGTGTTCAATTGCCAGCTAACTGTTGAGCTCCCCCATCTCTGCCGGGGACTTGAAGTGGGGGGCATTGGAGGAGAGCTCTCCAGGTTGCCGGGGCACTGCCCCGCCTCCCCGGAGGCTAGCCCCCTTTGCACGGAGCGCCCCACTCCTCTCTGATGTTCCCCGTGCCGGCAGGAGCTCCGCACCTGGGAGGAGGAGCTGACACGGGCCGCGCTCCAGCAGAAGAACCAGGAGGAGCTGCTGCGGCGCCGGGAGCAAGAGCTGGCCGAGCGGGAGATCGACATCCTGGAACGTGAGCTCAACATCATCATCCACCAGCTGTGCCAGGAGAAGCCCCGGGTGAAGAAACGCAAGGGCAAGTTCAGGAAGAGCCGGCTGAAGCTCAAGGACGGAAACCGCATCAGCCTCCCTTCCGGTTGGTGGCCGGGAGCTGCCGGGAGCGGGACGCGGGGCTGCTGGGCAGGGTTTGTGGGAACCAGGGCCCGAGCTTGGGAGCATGAGACGCTGGGTCTCAACGTGGAGCTTGTTGGAAACGGGCCATGGGAAGACTGGCCTGCCGAAAAGCTCCCCCATTCCAGGGGCATTTTGGAGCGAGACTGTACACATTGTGAAGGGAAGACAGTGACTGTGATGGACCCAACGGGCAGGCGCGGTCCAGGATGCTGGAAGCACGGTCATCACGCAGGCACATCTCACTTTAGGCAAACCTGGAGAAGGAAGCATGTATTTGGGAGGGAAAAAATCCCAGGGTGTGTTGTGGGTGTGTGTGACAAGAGAGCTCTTGGCTCCGCAAAATAATTCATCTCAGGATTTCTTTAAATCATTAGTTTTCTGTGTGCAGTTGAGATTAAGATTAATGTTTAAGAACTTGATTTACACATAACCTTTCCAAAAGATAGCTAAACAGAGGTACATTTGTGGTCTGGACAGCCTTGGGAAAATGCAAAGAATGGGAATGCACGAGTTAGAATCTCTGTGGGGTGTAATGTACCCGTGGAGGGAGGGGAGTACTCAAGTGTGTGTTTATGGAGATAAAAAAGTTCATTGTGTTCTGAGTTTGTAAGGCCCCAGGAAGCAAGCTTATTAGAAGTGTGGGGAACCAAGGGAAAGCGGCTTAGTAGGAGCAGTAGTGGATGGTTTTAAGCACTAGAATGGTGGATTAGGTACAGACGGGGGAATTCATTTAGTGTAATTCAGTGAATGTGTTCCTATTGGTGCACAGTTTTTTCTTTTCAGACAACACAGTCTGTAAGTGCCCCTTGAGCACCTAGGACGTGCCAGCACCTTGCTGTATGTGGGGGAAGCAGACAGAAAAGCCGGAATGCCCACCTTCAGGGAGATCGCAGTCTAGTTGGGGGACCTAGGTGCAAACATGCAGCGTTTATCATACTCCTTTGACAGACAAGGAGAATGAAACTCGGAAACTCAGAGCTGGGCGTTTTACATTCCTTATACTACCCTGGAAGTGCCTTTGGGACAAGTCAGGATTTGGACCATTAACCGCATCTCCCTCACTTCCTAGTTTCCGTGGGTTAGTCCTTTTACCCTGCACTCAGTGAGGGCCATGAGCCTCCCTGCTTTGGCCCCTGAGAAAAGAAGGCACATACTAATAGATTGAATGAGATGGAGAATTTTAAGTTAAATTTCTTAGAATAATCGACACAGTCTCCTGATGTTACCAAAAAAAAAAAAAAGAAACTTCTGAATATGTGCTTGTTACACCTGTGTACATCATATAGACAGCTTTATGAAATGAATTTTTCTTCTCTTCATATGTCCATCTTGCCACTTCCCTGTGGGAAAAAGGAATGATTCTGAAAGAGACCATTTCCCAGGTGAAAAGGAGCTTCTCAGGAAACGGGGCCTGTCCCTCGAGCCTGCCAGGAAGAGTCGGTTTTCTCATAGGGACTTTTTTTTTGAGGCATAGCTGATGTACAATGTTATATAAGCTTCAGGTGTGCAAAAGGGATTCACGATTTTTAAAAGCTACATTCCACATATGGTTCTAAAACATTGGCTGTGTTCCTGGTGTTGTGCTAGATACCCTTGCTCATAGGCATCTGGATGTGGGGAAATTCTACCGCACACACACGTGTTTGCCTTTCCTCATGCAGACTTCCAGCACAAGTTCACGGTGCAGGCCTCCCCCACCATGGATAAAAGGAAGAGTCTCAGCAGCAGCCGCTCCAGCCCTCCGGCAAGCCCCACCATCATCCCGCGCCTCCGCGCCATCCAGTGTGAGACTGCTTCCCACGTTAGCTGGGGCCAGCACACTCCATGGGCGCCCGTCCCTGCTCAGTCCCGCCACCTGCTGGTCCAGGCTTGCTCCACCCACAACTTCCGCCACCTCTCTTCCACGATGTGTCTATATGTGCACACGTGTACGCAGACCCTTAGCCCCGCCTTGTCTCTCTCCATGAACTTGACGCTGCCTCCTCTACCTCTCACTCTTAGTCAAGTACCAGCAGAGGGGTTTGGGGGATTGGCGGGACCTTTAGTGACTCACAGAGCAGTTTGGCCTGTGATGTAGGTACCCTGGCCGGAGGACCCTGTGTGATCTCTGCCATGTTTAGGGCATCGTGGTTTTTCTTTTGCCCCTGCTTCCCAGGAAAGGGCTTGGTCAGAATGCAGATCCTAATGAAATTGGCCAGAAACTTTATGATAGGCCGAATCTGAACCAATTTTATTTTTTGGCAGTGTTTATTTAAAAGAATTTATACATACACAAACACACATGTGTACATTTGTATATTGCGTGTGTGTGTGCATGCCCTAATTTAACAATAGAGAGATTTTATTCAAAAAAATCACCCAGAATGTGGATTTCTGGCTTTCTTTGGAAAATCAAATCAGTGGATTCCCTTTTTCGTGTGCTGTGTTTTGCCCAAGTCTCCTCAACTCCCTGTTTTTTGGTGACTGGCTCACTCCACTCATTTATGGTATAAGCCCGGTCTCTGAAGCACTGGGTTTCAACTCTTGCTCTGAAGTATCAGGGTCAGAAAAAGGTTCCTTCTCTCCTGTCTGTTATGTTTCCCCAGGCCTGTTCTTCACCCTCTCCTCCTACCCCTGACTTCCTTCTCCATAGTCTTGAGATCCTGATTTTCTTCCTTTCTAGCACTTTCTTATAAATATTTCTGTACTTCCTCATCTTCCTTGCCCCTTACCTTTTTTCTCTCCTACCTACTTCCTCACCTCCTCCTCCCGCCTCTGCCCCCCCCCAAGCCAGTTGCACCCAGCAACACATTCCCTACATTGGATCTGCTTGAAGCTCCAGTGACTGGCTGGCCTGAGCTCCTGCTGTGTGTGGGATTCGGGCCAGTCTGGGAGGTCTTCCCACACTGGGTACTTTGAGGGCTGAGTGAAGGGTGGCTGAGAAGTCCCTTACTTGCCTGGCTGGCTCCACTCAGGCCCAGAATTTTTAACAGGGTCCAACTTCCTCCCTGCAGCTCCAGATGTATGCATGTGTGTGTCTGGTCGGGGAGAGGCTAGTTTTGGGGGGCGTCTCTGTCTGTTTTCCAGATTGCATCCGACCTTTGTTATTCACAGTGACACCAGGTGAAAGCAGCAAAACCTGGGGCCGGAGCTCTGTCATCCCGAAGGAGGAGGGGGAGGAGGAGGAGAAGAGGGCCCCGAAGAAGAAGGGACGGACGTGGGGGCCGAGTTCGCTCGGTCAGAAGGAGTTTGCCTCGGGAGACGAAGGGTAAGTGCCAGAGGATGGGAAACTCTTTCCCATGGAAAGATGGGTGCACCCTTTAAAAAATAGGATGTGAAGTACCTTTTCCTCTGTTGTGTGTTTCACTGCCTTCTAAGAAATTGCAAGCTTCTTGATCTTTATTATAGGGTTTTCCAATCTCCTTGTTCCCTGGAACCTCCTAGGACAGGGTCAGCATACTTTCTCTGTAAAGGAGCAGATAATAAGTATTTTTGGCTTGGTGGGCCACATGCTGTCTGTAGTAAATAACTAACTGCAAGCCCACTGTGGTAGTGCAGAAGCAGCCGTGGCCAGTACGAGATGCAAACAAGTCATGGCAGGGTTTAGCCCCTGAGTTTTAGAGTTGGCCGACCCCTGGAGGCATCCTATGCACCGTAGCAAGTAGCCCAAGCATTCGCCAGATGTGAGCAGTTCTGCTTGGGCGTCCTATGTGTATCTGGCTCTTCCCCTTAAAATGCCTGCCCGGGGAAAGAGAAGGAAGAGCAGAGATGGCAGGCTTCTTGACTGGAGGCTGACTCTGAAGCAGAGGCAGGCAGAATAACCCAGCCCTGGCGGTGCAGGCAGCCCTGACCCCACCCCATAACCAAGCTTACGAACGTGAGATCCCCCTCTGGGCAAAGCACACAGCGCACCTTGGTACCTGGGATGTGGCTTGTGTCCTCGCCGTGGGCTTGTGGCCTGGGGGTCTGGATCCTTCACAGACCAGTTCCTTGTAGTGTAGTGGTGGAGAGCGTGGGTGCATCCTGGCTCCACCATGCCTAGCTGTCAACCTTGTTTTCTCATCTATAAAATGGGGATTATCTCTGTACCCACCTCGTGAAGTTGATATGAGTGTTAAGGTGGTCTTTGGGAAGTCTGTAGAAGATGGGCTGGCTCGTAGTAAGCATGTGTAAATACTCGCTATTACTTCCGTGCCTCTCATACATTCTAGTTCCGATCCCCAGGAATGCATGTAAGGGGTTGTAGTTCTTATTCTTGGGGTCAGAATCGAGAACTATGTTTCTTGACTTTTCCAAGTGTGAGAGTGAGCAGCAGCCCCCTTCATCCTTTTCAGTGGCTTTCTAAAGAGCTTCTAAGGTTGACCATTAGACTTAGAAGTGCCCTGAACCTGTAACTGGCCTTGGTATTTCTCCAAATACTAAGATCTCATGTCCAAAATCTGTTTGCCCGTGTCAGATCTGACCTGAAGGTGAAAATAACAGTTTGGTTCATGAAGGATGGACTCTTTGAAGCCAGGCTTTGGAAATCACTAGCTATCTTGGAATAGATGATTTAGATATGTAGGGCAAACTGCCTAAGCTCTGCAAGGATTCAGTGACTGAATCCTCGGGGACGGCCAATTGCTCTGCTGTACTAAGTTCAGTGGGAGTAGGCTCTCCTCAGTTTGTCCTTTGAGCCTTAGACTGGAGTAGGGTTGAGCTGAGGCTGAGGACCTCAGTCAGCCTGAGTGCTTTAGTATTTCTGACATTAGGGTGATTCCAGATGGGTTTTACCAGGTTGGCTCTGGATCCCAGTAGTTTCTATGGCTTTGCTTCATTTAAATGTCTTTTTAAATGTTTCTTTTTGTCTTGCTAGTAAATCAACTTTATTTTGTATTAAACAAAACATTAACTTTGGAGTTTTCTTCCTCCTTATGTAGATTTGTCCTCAAAACTTTTGAAGCAGTTCAAAATGTGTGACTTAATTTTTCATGATTCTTAACTCCTATTGAAGAAATAAGGAAAATCCACCCAGTCTTCAGAAAAGACTTCTTGAATGTTGGAAATTTTTGAGAACCTCTCTATGATCATATTTCTAATTTTAGTCCCTGTTGACTGAAGAAACAATGTAACGACAAAAAGCTATATTAAATTCAGGAATGTTAAGTGAATTTGCATCTCCATCCTTTTAAAAAATAGTACATATCCGTAGGAAACACATGCACTGTCTGTAGACGGCTTGGGTCCCCTGTAATTAAGCTGTGGCTGCCCAGGGATGTTTGTCCCACAGGATGGGAGGTCCTGGGCCCGTAGCAGGGCCATCTTGTTAAGATTCTTTCATGGTGTGGGCTTTGCCAAGGGGACCAAGGCGGAGGGGAGGGGTGGCTGGCGACGTAGTTGGAGCCCAGCCTCAAGGATTCTCGCGTGGGAGAGGCTGAGTTGCATGTACCCACTGTTGCCTGCTACTGATTCTTTTTATTCATTGAAGATCCCCTCAGAGACGCGAGAAAGCTAATGGTTTAAGTACCCCATCAGAATCGCCACATTTCCACTTGGGGTGAGTCTAATCATCTTCACCCCTTTGTCACGTGTACTGGTGATAATCCTCCTTCCATTTCCTCTTTCTCACAGCACATCCCGTAGAGCCAAGCCTCATTATTGCCAGGGCCATGCTGATTTGTTTTTTTTGGAGCAGTACCATTGTGCACCTTGGGAAAATTGCTGTGTTGATCTGACTTTCCAGTTCCTTGCTTCCCTGACCACTCCTATTGTTGGGGTTCTCCTGGTGCCCTTAGTTTTAGGGAGACAATTATCCTTTGGTCTTCAGCACTGGCTTTGACTTTGTTAATCTGGATTCCTCACCCAGAGCTGGACATGATGTTATAAGATTTTCAGTCTGAAGTCTCAGGCAGTGGGGTTTGGCAGCATGCTTATCTCTGGCTGTGTATTTTGGTTGAAAACACTGGTGGCTGGAATGCACTTTAATTTGTTGGTATTTCTGATGGCACTTGAAACAGATCTGAAGTCAGAGAGAAAATTGGTCCTTCTCCCTCCCTTAAGATGGGCTGTGGAGAGTGAATGGGCTTTCGTTGGATGGCTCTCTCCAGCCCTAAAATGAGTGCCACTGCTGGTTCTAATCCTGGTGTCTCCAAGGCAGTCAAAGCCCACAGATGCCTCATTCCTCCCTCTTTATTGTTCTTCAGGGAAAGGACCAGTGCTTCTGGGCCTCTGATTCTCCTCTCCTATAAGAGAGTTGGTGGGGTGCCCAGTCTGTGTCCTTGGCTTGCTGTTGTGAGCTGATTACAGGGATCTGAAAGCGAGCTCCTGTCCTTTTCCTCTCCATTCCCAGACAGACCGAGGGTCCAAGTCCAGCATTGTGTACTGCCCACATAGGTCTGTCCCATAGTGCACTGGGTTGGGCAGCTTTGTTGGTTGATTTTTTTTGTTTGTTTTTGAAAAGCTGATGGCTTTGAAAGTGGCCTAAGCATGCCGTAAGCTGGAAAGGAGAGATTGAGAAGTGGTGTGAGCGGCGTGGCCCAGCCCCTCTCCGCTAGCTCATTGCCCGGTGCTTGCCCTGCACTGCAGATCTCAGCACTGCAGTGTTTCTGATGTCACCAGTGTGTTGTATTCAGCGTCTGTGGATTGATTGCTTGTCCCTTGAGTTGGGCTTAGGCAAGACCCTGGCCGGTGCTGCCAGTCCTCTTGCCAGCCTCCCAACAGGTCCGCCCACAGCTCCGTAGCAGCATGTGAAGGGTGGGTCATGTCATCGCTTTTCTCTCCCTAGAGCATGTGCACTTTTTTTTAATGACGCAGGTAGCCTGGGTGAGGCTTGTTGCCTGTCCCCCAGGGTTCTTGGGCTTTGGCGTAATTAAGCAGTCAGGGAGAGGCATATCCAGGGGTCCATGGAGCTGAGGGTGGAGTCGAGGTAGTAACCAGTTCTGAGTTTCCTCATTTCCTCTCATTCAGCCTCAAGTCCCTGGTAGATGGATACAAACAGTGGTCGTCCAGTGCCCCCAACCTGGGGAAGGGCCCTAGGAGTAGTCCAGCCCTACCAGGGTTTACCAGCCTTATGGAGATGGGTAAGCATTGCCTTTGTCTTGACTCTCTCCCTGTTCCCTAGAAATTCTTGACCAAGCCTCTAGGACTCTCTAAGGACCCCTAGTACTACTTCAGGGAGGTTGTTTCCTCTTTCCCTCGAGCCCTGGTCCCCCACCCTGTTCCCTCTTAGTTTGCTCTACTCGCATTCCATTAAGTCTTCCCAGATCACGACTCCTGCCACGGAAGCTGTCCTTGGCCTCCTGTCCCAAGGGGCTGGATGTAGCCTCCTTAGGGCAGTGCAGAAGAGGGAGGCCTGGAAACAGGCGCTTCCCTTTCCTGGGTCTGTTTTCCAAGTATTTTAATGTAGGGAATCTGCAAAATTGGAGATGGTGATAGAAGACACCATCACATCACTCAGTCTTCCTTCAGGGAAGCTTTTCCAGGGTTGCCCGGTGATTACTGAATGGGGCAGGCTTTCTCCAGGCTCCTCCCCCTCGTATAGTACTCTTCTCTTTAGCATTCCAAGGTCATAATCGGTCAGTCCGTAGAGGAGATTGGCCTTCACCCATGCAGGGGATTCTAATCCTTTGCAGGAGACCAGCCTTAAGACAAGTCTGTAGGCCATCACTCTAGAAATCCAAGGTCCCTTCCAAATTCAAGTTGTAAAATGATTAGGGATCTTTCTGTTCTAGGACACTCATACCGTACCTCTCCAGTTGAGGGTCCCTGTGACAAGTAGCAAATTAGCGGATCCCCTTTTCTGCAGTTAGGAGAACGGGCTCTGGGATGGAGCGTGATTTCCCCGTGTTGGTCACGGTCGAGTATGGAAGAGTGAAGTCCTGTTGGTTCAATGCCCTGTTCCTTTTCTTGTGCCTTAGACCATTCAACCTCTGCATCCCTGACCCTAAGCCAGGGGGCCTAGGGTTGAGGAGAACAGCCAGATTCTTACTCTTACTCATCATTCCCACTTCCTGTTTCCCCTCCACTCCTCTTACCCTCACAGAGGACGAGGACAGTGAAGGCCCACGGAGTGGGGAGAGTCGTCTGCAGCAGTCACCCAACCAGTCCTACCTCTGTATCCCATTCCCTCGCGGGGAGGATGGGGACGGCCCCTCCAGCGATGGCGTCCACGAGGAGCCCACCCCAGTCAACTCAGCCACCAGTACCCCGCAGCTGACGCCAACCAACAGCCTCAAGCGGGGCAGCCCCCACCACCGCCGCTGCGAGGTGGCTCTGCTTGGCTGTGGGGCAGTCCTCGCAGCCACAGGCCTCGGCTTTGACCTGCTGGAAGCTGGCAAGTGTCAGCTGCTGCCGCCGGAGGAGCCAGAGCCTCCGGCCCGGGAGGAGAAGAAGAGGCGCGAGGGTCTATTCCAGAGAGCCAGCCGTCCTCGTCGGAGCACCAGCCCCCCATCCCGGAAGCTCTTCAAGAAGGAAGAGCCCATGCTGTTGCTAGGAGACCCCTCTGCCTCCCTCACGCTGCTCTCTCTCTCCTCCATCTCCGAGTGCAACTCGACCCGCTCCCTGCTGCGATCCGACAGCGATGAGATTGTGGTGTACGAGATGCCCGTCAGCCCGCTGGAGGCCCCGCCCCCGAGCCCCTGCACCCGCAACCCCCTGGTCAACGTGCGAGTGGAGCGCTTCAAGCGAGACCCTAACCAGTCCCTGACCCCCACCCACGTCACCCTCACGGCCCCCGCACAGCCCAGCGCTCACCGCCGGACTCCTTCCGATGGGGCCCTCAAGCCCGCGGCCCCCTCAGCCAGCAGGAGCCCCTCCAGCAATGGGCTGAGCCCCAGCCCTGGAGCAGGTGAGACCTGTCCTCCACCTCCTCCCTCTTTCTCTGCTTCGAGCCTTCCCCAGGAGTGGAGATGTGGTAGTAAACTCCACTTCTCCTCCGACTCAGCCAATCAAGGCAGACTGCTCTGGCCTGCGGGAGGTGGCCGACTCCTCTGCGTCCGGGCCCCCTGCCCAGGGGTTCTTCCAGGAGGAGGGAAAGAAGACAGGCAGGTTCTTGGAAGAATCCACACCAGGACTCCGGTGGGATCCCAGGCCCTGGGTCGGGGAGTGCATGGAGCAGTGTTTTCAGGGTGCAGCAAGGGCAGGAGTGCCGCTGTTTGTTCCCTGAAGAGGGGACCACAGTTACCTGCACATGGGAGCGTATTTCCTGCCACGTAGCCCGGCTCTCACCTCTCATTACAGCTTGAGTGCAGACACACTCACAAGCAAGCTTCCGCCCGGGCAGCACGCCCTCCATCACTCATCCCTTACTCCCTCGTGACTCAGACCTGGAGATGTGTCCAGACAACCAGCGCCTCTGCGCCTCTGCGCATGCGTGCCTTCTCCGTCCGCCGTCGGAGTCACTGGCATACGCGCATCCTGGGTCTTCCCCGCCACCTTCCCTTGTCCCCTAGAAGACCTCAGTCTGACTTAGAAACCGCCTCAATTCCGGTAGGAGAGGGCATGGCAGTAGCCTTTCAGAGAGAGTTGAGTGTATGACAGTTGTATTTTACCAGTCAGCTCGCCCCTCCACTCTGTAGACTTTTGGTTGCAACCAGGTAGGTGACCACTTCGGAAAAAAGAGACCCCTAGAGTACTGGTCTTTAGATTCCTGATACCTAGCTTTGCTCTTGTCACATGTTTATTAAATGGACGGGCTGTGAGTGAACAGGCATTTCCTTCATTGTTTCATCACCAATACAACCCCCACCTGTCCCATTATTACCAGAATCAGGGATTGTGGCCTTGTTGTTGACCATTTTAGCCCTAGTGCTTCCCAACACACTGCATGCACATAGTGGATGCTCATTGAATGGTGGTTGTCCATGTTACCCCAAGTGAACAGGGCTGTGGCAAGGCGGGAAGGATGTAATGTATATCTGGCCCAGAAATGTGATGCCTTTCCCTTTGTCTCTTTGATCAGGAATGTTGAAAACCCCCAGCCCCAGCCGAGACCCAGGTGAATTCCCCCGCCTCCCTGACCCCAACGTGGTCTTCCCTCCAACCCCAAGGCGCTGGAACACACAGCAGGACTCTACCTTGGAGAGACCCAAGACCCTGGAGTTTCTGCCTCGGCCACGCCCTTCTGCCAACCGGCAACGGCTGGACCCTTGGTGGTTTGTGTCCCCCAGCCACGCCCGTAGCGCCTCCCCGGCCAACAGCTCCAGCACGGAGACGCCCAGCAACCTGGACTCTTGCTTTGCCAGCAGCAGCAGCACCGTGGAGGAGCGACCTGGGCTGCCAGCCCTGCTCCCATTCCAGGCGGGGCCGCTGCCCCCCACCGAGCGGACGCTCCTGGACCTGGATGCAGAAGGCCAGAGCCAGGACAGCACCGTGCCGCTGTGCAGGGCAGAACTGAACACACACAGGCCGGCCCCTTATGAGATCCAGCAAGAATTCTGGTCTTAGCATGAAAAGGTTTGGGGGTGGGTGGAGTGGGGGAAACAGGAGGAGAAGGGGGGAGCTGGCTGGCACAGCCCTCCCTCAGAATGGGACCCCTTGAGATCCAGCCCTACTTCTTGCACTGAGAATGCACTTTGAAGATGGAAGGGGTGGAAGCAGGGCCCTTCTTCCCGTGTCCACCAGAGGGGCTGTGGCCGTCAGCTCTGGCTGTGTAGGGGAGGGAGGGGTGCGTGCATGTCCCCCCACCCCTCCTCAGTCTTCCTTGCCTTCAGGGTGACCCTGCAGAGTCACTCAGCCGAATCTGTCTGCTGCTCCCCCTCTGCCCCCCGGGGTCCCTCTGTTAGCCCTGAGTTCAGCCTTCCCAAACACCAGTGTTGGATGCTCTGTGGTTGACTTTGCTCCTCTTCCACATTCCTCCCTGACACTCACGACTCAGAATCTCGTTGGTGTGAGATGCGTGCTCCTCCACGTCCTGAGCCCTTTGGTGTCAGCTGGGGACTGAAGGCAAGCTGCCCAGTGTCGGGCACAGGAATTGATGGAGGTGGGACCACCTGCCTGCACTTCCAGGAGCCCCACTTAATTATTTGAGCCAATGTTCAGTGGTCAGGGGTCGTGGACCTGTCTCCGTGAGAGCTGGGGGAAGGGAGGGAGTTAGGAAATACAGTCGAGTTGCAGTAAAGAGGGTAACAGAGTCTGTCTGTACTCATTCCTTTTGTAAACATTCAAATAAGGGCAGAAACCAGCACATGTTGACAGCACCCTTCTCCTACCTGGGCCCCAGACATAGTCAGACCAGGTTCTGATTCAAACACACGCTCATCCCAGGAAGAGTTCCTAGGGAGACTCACTGGTGCCAGTTCTGAAGCCCGAGATAGTTCCTTTATTTGTCCCTTTTGTCATCTGATCTGTGTGTGTTCTTCCTTTCCCTTGAGCTTTCCTTCCGTCCCTGGAATGAGTGGACGCGGGGTTGTATGTGTGGTTGGGAGACATCTCTGTACTGCACCAGGACAGCATGTGGGCGTGGGTCCTGGGCACTGGGAGCTGGGCCTGTGGTGAATCCTCATCCAGTCATCCATTCTGTGATGCCTTTGAAGTAAAACGGAGCCATCAGTAGAACCTTCCGTAAATGGGCATGGTGAGGTGATGATGTGTGTAAGAGGCCCAGTGAGCCCGACGTGCAGTGACCTTCAAGTCCCAAGCACTGGAGACCGGCCAAGGCCTCTTGTCTTCGTGCACGGACAGCCCCCTGTGCTGGGCTCTGGACCGTGAGCTGGGGTAGAAAGGACAACAGAGACCCACCCCAACTTTTCTGAAATTTGTTACCTTAACTAGAAGGTTAAGCTTCTTCTGGAGCGTTCTCACGTGTGTCTTTGCTATTCCTCTTACCTGGAGCCTCCTGTGTCGAGTGTGACCAGTTGTCTTCATGTGGGAGTAACAACTTGCCTGGGAGTCGAGCCCCCCTCCCAAGCCGCTCGCCCTGTCGCTGCACTGTCCTTCATCCTGGAATATTTCTCTGGAGGCGCTGGAGGCCCCCTTTCAGGTTCCTTGCGTTTGCTGCCTGGATGCCAGGACAGGAGAGGTGACACTGGTGCGGGGGGTGGGGTGGATTTGGTCCCTCCTCTCTCTCTGACTCTGATAGATGCCCTGCCCTGAGGATGACCCAAGGAGTGACCGTGGTTTTCAAGTTGTTCCTGGTTTTATGAGCCGACTGGCAGGCACTTTAGCTCAAGGGCTTCACCTTATCTCGGGAGGGGAGGCACTGTTGGTTTTGTTGCCCAGGGTTTTGTTATTGAATCTCATCTCTCTGTCTCTCTGTCCAGCAAAGACAGTAGGTAAGAGGTGTTTTCCCCCCCATTCCCCATTCTTCGGCTGGAAGGATAGGAAGTCTGAATCCCATCAGCAGTCCTGGCCAACCAAGGGGCTTCTTCATTTCTGAAGGGGAGAGGGACGTGGTCTGTTCTGTGCCCTTCCCTTGGACTCTCCATAGCCCTGAGGCCTAAGCCACCGAAATGTCTATAACCCTGGGCCCCACTGAACTGCCCTCTGGTGGATGCAGCCTACAGCGTGATCCAGACCACACTGGCTCAGTGCTCTGTGGTGTGAGGCAGGGGTTCTTCCTCTGCTCACTTTCTCCTTTTGGTCACTTTGTTAGATTGCAGCCATCTGTGTTGGAAGTGATAGTGTCGCTGATGTGGTGTAACCTGAGTAATGGCTACTTGCTGTTGAGTGAGAGGTTACACCCAGTTCTTCCTCATCCATATTTGGGGAAGAGATGGAAATGCTGCGGCTCTGCTAAGGACAGAATTTACCTGCAAGAGGCAGAAGCAGAGTTATTCTGAAGATTCTTCTGTGGGCTTCCATGAAGATGGAGGAGTTACCATCTCTCAGCTCCTTCAGACCAAGTCTCCAAGGGGCCCCTGCCTGCCACACTCTCTCCCTGTCGGGCAAGGCTAGGGTGGGGTGAGTATCCTACATAGTGACAGGTTTGGGTTGCTTTCTGTGCATTCATCTTCCCACACCTCCAGGGTCGTGGGCAGGGTCAGACCTTGGAGCGAGGGTCCAGCCTCTGCAGCGGCATGAGCTGGTAGTCCCTCCCCTTTCCTCAGACGCTTTCCCACCGCCCTTGGCCGGTGCTCCCTACATGGAAGATGGTGGTAGGAAACAGAGACTGCCCTCTGCCCCTTCTCCTTGGCTCCCTCAGCTCCTCCCACTGATTCTACATAGGGCGATCCTCTGTTCTTGGGGATCCAGGACACTGCCAGGGGCTGAGTAGATGTCCCAGTTATCTTTGTATGTTACACCTAGAAGGTTTTGACAGATGCTCTTAGCATCATATCCTTCAGTATCCCTGAAAGTCTGGTGATGATGATGATGATGATGATGATGATGATGATGATGGTGGTGGTGGTGGTACCTCACATTTGGACGGCTCAGAATAGTGCTCACCTTTCCTCCTGACCTTTACAAAATTACATCGTCTTCCTCCTGCATTTGATATACTTGCTGGTAGACAAGGGATATGCTTAAAGTTGAAGATTCGAGTGAAGAGAAATGGAAAAGCTGCCTGGACTGATTGATTGCTGAGTCGGTACCAGGCTCTGAGACCTGAACAGATTGGCTCTATTCTCCACTGTGCTTTTGTTGTTTGACTTCAGGCTAGTCTCTTAGCCGCTCTCAGATTTCCTTCTTGTAAAAGCGACCATCACCTGCTTCCCTCACAAGGGCAAGAGAGTGTGTATCAGAGCAGGTCTGTGAAGCCTGTGGCTCCCTGCCAGCGACTAGGATGAACTGCTGAAGTTAACAGTGTGGTTCTCACCACCTTTGCCTCTGGGCGGTATGCCTACTATTTCTTCCTTAGGCT